TGTGGTATTTGAAGTTCGTATTGGATGCTACAGCTTGTGACAGAAAATTGTCTATGCAGGTCCAGGTCTTCGTACAGCTCTGATATAACGGTACCTCCCTATATACGATATTTTCATGATTTTAGCAACATTATTCACCGTTTATTTCAAGTTACGAATTTGAATATGGTAATAGCTTATGAGAAACAATGCCTATGTAGGCCTACATCGTATACACCTCAATATAATGCCTATATTTGGTATTTTTAAAATTTTAACAGAATGTTTTAATGATTTTATTTTCTGAAAATTTCCAAATTCGTTCCGAATGGTGGAGGGTATTCAAAGTTCGGTCCGGCCGAACTTACTACTTTTTGACTTGTTTTTTTTTTTTGACTTTTTCCCTTTATGCCAAGGGACCAGTTCGAAATGATGTGAATTATGAAAATCAGGTGAGTCGTTCTTGAGTTATAAGCGTAGTAACTAATATAACGTTCTTATTTATATAGATACAAATAATATTCGTGAATGTGGGTAATAAACATTTAATAATAATGTACTGCAAATATCAAAAGCTGTTGATGAGGTCCTCTTAAATTGTTGTTTGATCGATGGTTTATTCTGTTATTAAAATGTTGTAGTATTTTCTTGAACTTATCGGCTGCAGTATTGTGTGGTGAGGTCTTTGCCAAAGACAACACATGTTTTAGGAACTGCAATCTCAGAACAATGGCTTTAAACAATACCTTCAACATTATTACATTTCTTTGTATTGAAGCCATATCTGTGCCCATATATATATATATATATATATATAGATATATAGACACCTCAAACAATTTCGGTGGGTATTGTACCTAAAATCGTCAAAATACCGAATATAGGGATGTACTGATATATGGGCCCTATACGAAGACCTCAACCAGCATAGATAATTTTCTGTCTTAGGGTGTAGTATTCAATTCGAACTTCAAATACCAAATTTGAAACAATTCCGGTGAATAATGTCGCAAAAATCATCAAAATACCGAATATAGGGGGGTACCGTTATATAGGGGCTATACGAAGATGTGGACCTGCACCGACAATTTTCTGTCTTAGGGTGAAGTATCCAATTCGAACTTCAAATACCAAATTTGAAACAATTCCGGTGAATAATGTCGCTAAATTCATTAAAATACCGAATATGGGGAGGTACCGTTATATGGAGGCTATATGAAGACGTGGACTTGCACAGACAATTTTCTGTCTTAGGGTGTAGTATCCATTTCGAACTTTAAATACCAAATTTGAAACAATTCCGGTGAATAATGTCGTTAAAATCATTAAAATACCGAAAATCGGGAGGTACCGTTCTATGGGGGCTATATGAAAACGTGGACCTATATGGCCCATTTTCGAACTTAACCTGCCTACTGGAAAACTAAACATGTGTGCAAAATTTTAGCCATCTATCTCAATTCATTCGAAAGATAGCGTGATTACAACAGACAGACGGACAGACAGACAGGCGGACATGGCTAAATCGTCTTAGAATTTTACGCTGATCAAGAATATATATACTTTGTTGGGTCTGACATGAGTATTTCATGGAGTTACAAACGGAATGACAAAGTTAATATAGGGTATAAAAATCCGCCATTTAGAATGTGAATAAAAAAAATTGTGACATATATTGTGTTATTTTTTCGTACTTTTTTCACATGCAATATTGCAGTGTTAACCGTTATGCTGGGGCTATGCCTGTCGTGAGTAATTACACTGTGCAACAGCCAATCTTGGAGTTGGAATTTCTATGTGAATGGTATTCGTTTAGAAGATAAAAATCACAAAAGAGTTTCCAGACCAAACTTTTTAGGGCCCATTATATAGCAATTTAAATTAATTTGGCCCTTAAACACTGTAACTTTCCTAGCAGATTTCAACTCCAGTCGTAAGTAATAACCTCCAAGCCTTGAAAATAAGTACCCTACTTCGCAAATCATCTTCATTTCCTTTACTTCTATAATATCACCAACGTTTGAGGAACTATGGGCAGCCGAAATCACTAGTCTCTCTGAACATTCTCAACAGATTTGGTCGTTGTCCTGACCTCCAAACACTAGAAATGCAGAATGTAGAAATGTCTCTGCAGACTTTTAAAATTTTGTAAGGGATTTGCAGTCGGATTTGACATCTATGAAAAAGGATTTTTCCTCACTATCACTCCGATATGAGAATTTGTCTACATTGTCTGAGAAATACCAAGAACCAGATGAATTTGTGTCGTCACCGCCATTTTCTGGTCAGAAAAAGGAACCAACTAAGGGAATGCCTAGTCGCAAAGCCATAGTTTCTGTGGAGAACACTGTTTCACAGCCGGTTTCAGTTAATATCACTCGTACAACTGAGGCTGGGCGTGAACAGTCGTATGATAGTGAGCTTCCTAAGAAAACTTCACAATCCACTCATGACATTCAGTAACTATCTTTTCTAATGATCTCCCGAGACTGCTACTGGCAAAACTCTACCTGTCCAAATACCATTATCTATGGTTCCCGTCATGAAAATGATATTTGCGGCAAGGCTTGCACCAGAAACTCAATAATTTAGCGAGATTACTTTTTGAGATGTTATAAAATCTGATCTTCATTTCCTAAAAGAAGATCTTCTTTCAAAATCGTTGTGTCTGCTGGAACATTCATCAAAAAATTTCTGGAGAGATCCGATAATTTAGTTCATTAATTTCCAATATGCTATCAGAATATAAGCGGTCTTAACACAAGATTAACCAATTTATATAATGATGTTATATTTACAATGATGTTATATTTACAATCGACAAATAAAGAATACTGCCGCGGGAATTTTTCACATCAAGTTTAAAAAATTCAAAAAATAAGCTATTTCCTAAATATAAAACTTCAGGCTTAACAATAGACTACACTACACCGAAAGTAACAGTACCCAGTATACTTTTAAAGTTATAAATTGTTCTTGTGACATAAATCTTCATCAAATAAACAATGTTAAAAATTCCCACGGCAAATTTCTTGATTTAGCGTTTTTAAATATAATACCAGAGTTATCAAGTTTAAAAAGTTCTAAAAATAAACTTTTTCGTAAATATAAAAAATCAAACTTAACACCCTGTTGCCAGGCCCAAATATACTTGAGTCTCGTAGATTGTATAACCTTTACCTCGTCAAGATCAAAAGTAATTTTAAATCCAATCCTAATTTTTTATGATTTCGTTTACCAAAAACGAAAGGTTTCCTTAAAGCTCTCGGTATTGTTTTGTAAAAATAAGGAACTTGTCACAGGCGCCGATATTGCAGAATGTTTTGCAGATTTCTTTTGCCACAGCCTATTAAAGTACATCCAGTCAAATCAAAGATTCATATCCTCAATTCTTAAGAATTGTTTAGACACATTAACTAAATCGGTTAATTATTCACTTAAATTTGGTAACATTGGCCTACTTTCTGGAAAAAATCGTATATTACCTTTACAAAGGTCTAGAAGTCTTACAAATGTGACAAATTATAGAGGAATTGCAAAATTAAGTGTCATTCCAAAATTGTCCGTACAATTAAATACTGCAGTAAAAATGTTATACAATTTACGTCAACAGTGATAAAAGGATTTGTTCAGCGTAATCAGACTGACACAATCTACACTATCTATTTAAATAGATCAACGCTCCATCGGGTGCTCCGCAAGGAGGTAACATTGGACCTGTTCCCTTTCTTTTATTTATCAACGATTTACCTAATTCCATAAATTATTCGAAATTGCTAATGTACGCAGATGATCTTTATGTATTCATTCCCCATAGTTGTGATAATAAGCTTCAATGGCGCAGATTAAAATTTATGTATTCAAATTTAAGAAAATGTAAGCATATGTGCTTCTTCAGATCTTCTCTAACATTGCGTGTAATATCGACGGTCATTTATTATTAACTGTAAATTCATTTGCCGATCTTTGTATTTTTATGGATCCAAAATTAGATTTTAATATACATATAATAACAATGATAAATAAAGCAAATGGTGTTTTATGTTTTGTAAAACGGTGAACCAAAGAATTTTCTGACCCATACACAACAAAACAGTTTTTTATGTCTCTTGTTAGACCTGAATTAGAATACGGTTCTGTTGTACGGGATCCTCAATATGCAATATACTCATATAAAAAAGAATCCATCCAAAAACAAATTTTGCTATTTGCCTTAGGTTTTTGTTGGTTTTTATACTAACTGGCTAAAAGTAATTAAATTGCCTACACCTAAAAATATTAAATGGTAATATACCTTCAGATTTCCTAATCTCATCTATTAAAATTAATGTTCCGTTTAAATCTAGTAGATACTATCAATTATTACATACCGAAAATACCGCACGAATTGTTCAATGGGTGAACCTCTTAGTAATATCTTTGTTGACTTTAATTCTGTGTACTGTAATGTAGATTTGGTTTAAGTGTAGTTTATAAAATCTAGAATAATTTTTTTTTTTAAACAATTAAAATACGTGTTTTAATATTTAACAAACTAGCTGATGATTTAAATTCTGTAGCTGGTTTTCAATTTAATACTAAAATCCCATTATGGTGCGGATCATGATGTGTACGCGATCCCTACGTAGAGGCAGGTTGCCCCTCTGTCGGCAGGGGTGGGAATATGAGGCGTGGGTACGTTCGGTCAAAATAAATAAATAAATAAATCTTTTTTTAATCAAAACTTTATTGCAATGCAACCTATTGGTACTTTTTACTTGTCTATTTTTCTCGCCATGCCAGCATTCGCATACAAAGTAAATTTTTTTCCACGAACGAACGAATTTTGTTCGATAACATTTTGAAAATTGTGTACATGTGAGAGAAAATTCGCTTAATACAAGTTAATGAGTAATTTTTACGGGAAAAAATTATCGCGCACTCCTGTTTATATTTTAATAACCAAACTCATTGCTGAAATGTAGAATTGTAAACTGCTAAAAGTCCTTATCTTTTTTACAATTTTGCAACAAATATAGATGTATTTTATTTTAATGTTTCATATATTTATTAAGATATTAGTCATTCATTTAGGTTATTCCTTATAGAAAATAAAGAATAACAATGCTGTTATAATAATCCGAACATTTATTGCTTACTTAAAAAATAAACATACACGAGTTAATGGGATTGTGGATCACATTGTAACAAACGAACAATTGATGGATCACTTTTTGCACCCTCTATGAATTCCTCTAAGCTTAATTTTCCATCCTTGTTGCGATCCATTTGCCTAAATATTTTATCAGTTCGTTTTTCTGGTGTGCTTTCGTCTTCCGGCATTTTCATTACAGATCCAACCATTTTATAAATAGCCTGAAATTAAAAGAAGAAAGTATATGAACTTCTTACACTTGTAGTTGTTTACTAAATTACTACTTAAGCAATTGGGCAGTTCGTTTACTATTTTTTAAATTTTGAAATCTGAAGGTTCTTTTTTAAAAGAAAATAAAAAAGGTAAACGAGCTAAGCTTTTCCATTCAAGTAATGTCATCGTCATTACTACAATTCTTTGTACCCTGTACCTTACTGTGGAGAATATATCAATTTTGTCATTTCGTTTGTAAATCCCCGAAATAAGCATATATGGCCCCAAAGTGTATATATTTTTGACCAGCGTTAGGTTCTGTGCCAATTTCGCAATATCCGCAAGTCTGTGAAAATCACACGGCAGCGGGTTATACGATACCGGAATGATCCGAAACAACAACATCCCTGTTTCGGCCAGTGGCCAACCCAGTATGCACATGTTTGTTTATTTTTCTGCGTCGGGAGCAGCATATCCCAAAATGCTTGCTCCGGATTTTATTGGTACGTGCCGGGATTAAGGAAAACCCCGGACCTTGGCTCTGCTCGGTTTATCAGAACGTCATTCACCACAGATCTGTTTCGGTGCGATGTAATGGATATAGAGGATGGGTGCACTTTAAGAACTGTACAGCAACCAATACCGCAGCATCTTACGCCACATTTTGCTGTTCCAACTCCGGATTGTGCATCGTTCTTGCAATTCAATTGCAACGGACTCCGAGGCAAAAACGATGTGGTAGTGGAAGTGGAAACCAAGCTGAATGAAAGTTGCGGCCTACAACGTTGTTATGGTTACAACGTATTGAGGATGGGTCGCACCAGAAGTGGAAGATTAGAGTTCTTCTTACACCATTCTGTTCAATACAGACCTACTTTGCTTGAGCAGTCAAGTATGGAACTGCCGAGGTAAAGGTGCTTAATATGTATATCCCGCCGATCATGGACCAGCGCTATGATTAAGCTGTGGGTAACGGCTATGTCGCTCTCGAACCCTGGAAAAAAGGATGATATGACCTCAGTCAATTTTAACGACGTAACGGTGACGAGCACCGTTCTCAAGCACCCGAAAGGGACAGGTCGAAGCGAAGAGAACTACGTCGTATCAGATCCCTTCCTGCCGAGAAGGAACCACCACAGTTTACGATGGGTGATGTTGCAAATGTCATCCGGAACGCTATGTCATCCAAAGCGTTGGGCCCAGATGGAATCTCAATGGTAAAGCTGAAACAACTGAATACACCGGGAGTTGAGTACCTGACAAAAGTTCTCAACCTGTCGCTAACCACCCGTTCCCAAAGACCGGAAAATGGGCCGGGAGGTCCCGAGGCTTGGAAAATGAACCAGGGGAGGATGCCAGCAAAGACGAATCGTACAGTCCGATTTCGCTTTTGTCGCCAGTAGCTAATACTCTCCAGGCTTTACTCCTCCCCAACATTAAAGGAAGCTATCCAGTTGCCAACCTTCAGCACGGATTCAGTCCACAACATAGTACCACAACAGCATTACACGCGATTTCCACACATATTAGAAGAGGATTGAACCAGAACATGCCTAACGTATACGGATGATTGTACGATTATGGCGTCGTTCCCAGTGGTCAATGACATATGTGAAGTGATCTCGCGGATGCCGCATACTGCCACGGGAGGACAATGAAAATATGCGCCACAAAATCAACTTAAGCGATCTAGAGAGGAAGGTCCAACGCTGTAAGAGAGAGCCTCTAGATCAAGAAGCTCTGAGTGGCATTCATACCCATGCAGTTACAGATGATATCAGCAATTACAGGATGAATGCCGTCCTCGGAGTCCACCCATTGCAATTGAAGAACATCAGCTGCATAGACAAACCAGGGTTGCTCTGGCGCAATTACGTTCAGGATGGTGTAGTCGTCTCAATTCGTATTGGGAACGAATTGACGAAGATGTGCGTGACGTCTGCCCGGCATGTGATACAGACCCGCACAATACGCACAATACTGCACCTCGTTCATTGCACAACTAAACCTACCCAACTCACTCCAGAATATATCTTTTTACAGCCCATTAAAGTAACCGAATTTTTAAACTTTCTTTTTCTCTCTCGTCCATTTCCGAAAAGCTATGATATGTTGGTGTTTCCATAACCAATATTTTGTTAATTTTGAAATAGATTGTATATTAAATTTGTCATTCCGTTTGTAACATCTCTAAATATTCATCATAGACCCCATAAAGCGTATATATTCATGATCAGCATAAAATTCTAATTCGAACTAAAGATGTCCCCTTTAAAATTTTGCACAATACTTTGTATTATGTCTAGGATGATTGGTATTGAAAGCAGTAGCTCTCTAAAATTAATATTTCTATGAATGAATTACAAACGGAATGATGAACTTAATATGTAGGGTATAAAAAAATATTTTGTATGATTTGAAATTTATTGTTTTGTATTGTCAATTTTTTGGATATATTATCTTTGCTTCAACTTTTCTTAGAGTTCATCCTTTTATTGAAAATTATAAGGAAACAAGTTGGAAACAAGTTGTAACCCTCAATAAGTTTCTCTTACATATTGATTATTAAAAAATATCTAGTAAGGAAAGACAAAAGTCGGGTTGTGCAGTCTTTATTATACCCAACACCATTAGTAGAATATGCAACAACATTTAATTGGACATTTGAGTATTATTATCATGATTTTACATCGATTTAGTTTTAAATCTGTTGAAAATCATGCGTAAAAGCTATATCTTATGGATTTCAACGATGTTGTATGTAACCTCTCGTACCAAATATAATTGCTTAGAGTGCAAGTTATGCAAATATAATGTCGTTGGTGTATCATTTAAATTGATCCAAATCTGAACCGATCTCGACAATAAAATTTTCAATGACCGTTTTGCATAAATGCTGTGGGGTTTCATTAATACAGCGTCTAATTTCATCTTTTAATTTGCTTTCTATTTTTTTCATGATAGTTATAGTATTAATTTCAACATTAGCAATTTTTAGCCCCAGTATGTTTGATACATCCAATTTATTTCGGTTTTTATATTGATCATAGCCATTGATCCGGCATTACATGGGCATCCGGCATTACTTTGATAGCTTCGTCAAATAGGCAAGACCACTTTCCAGCAACTGAGAGCCGGAATTGTTTGCGATGGAAAGTATTTTTCAGTAATGTATCTTCCGATAAATCAATGAGCTCTTCGTAGTTATCCCAGAAATGAGTTACATATCACATACTTTACAAACTTTTCGCCATTGAGTGTCAGAGTTATTTCTTAACAATGATAAATGTGCGACAGTTGCAAAAAGTTGGTCAATTTTTGATTACACTTGGTTTTCTGCTATTAGGGTTTCGCGTGTTGCAAAACAATCGTATTTACCATTCTTAGACCAATTTTGCTATAAAACTACCTTTTTCATGAACGCTCGATTTCTGTCGTGAACTGCAAAAATGTCGGATTCGTTTGAACCTTGCAGAAACAGGTTAAGTTTGGAAAGGTTAACTTGGAAAATTTCCGACAAATAAATTAATTTAAGCACGAATTCTTCTTCCTGTAGATGTTCAAATATATTCGGCTTTTGTGTAAATTGTGTCAGTACCTTTTCACTGGATAAACAACGTATCACGCTATAACTACTTCTTCACACAACTTCTAAAAAAGATCTTGAAAAGTCCTTGTTTTGATTAACTTCCCATTTTACAGCTGGATTTAGCGCAATTTTAAAATCAGCTGTAACACCTTTGAATGAATGAATGAATGAATGGTATTGAAATCCGATGCCCTTGGTGTTAATTGTGTATTGGTGGTTATTTTAAGGTGACCGCCAATTATGTGGTCGAGTTGCATCTATTTTTGACATTTCGGTTATAGAAAATAAAACCCTTATTGGTAGAATTTACGATGTAGGATATGGAACATGGAAATTATGCAGTTTACCGTGCAAAAACTGTTGGTGCGTCATCTGTTAGGAATCGATATCGAATAACTTTCCCGAGTTCCAATGTTAATACTACAAAACATGCTCCTTTTACTGGTAATAATAATTCAAAACTAAATTCCGATGTATGTTCTATGCGCAACTGACGTTTAACAGTTATTTTTTTATTACAAGAATGCTGATGATGTTACATGTTAGTCGTTTTATGAAATTATAGAAAATATGTGTGATATAATATAAGATGGATTCACAGTATATAACAAGTTAAAAAGCAGTAAGTTCGGCCGGGCCGAAATTTGAATACCCTCCACCATTTGGAACGAATTTGGAAATTTTCAAAAAATAAAGTCATTAAAAAATTCTGTTAAAATTTTAAAAATACCGAATATAGCCTACATAGGCCTTGTTTGTCATAAGCTATTACCATATTCAAATTCGAAACTTGAAATAAACGGTGAATAATGTAGCTAAAATCATCAAAATATAGTATATATGGAGGTACCGTTATATAGGAGCTATGCGAAGACCTGGACCAGCATAGACAATTTTCTGTCACAGGCTATAGCATCCATTACGAACGTCAAATACGACATCTCAAAAAATTTCGGTGGGTATTGTACCTACCGAATATAGGGGGGTGCTGATATATAGGGCCTGTACGAAGACCTGTACCTGCATAGAAAATTTTCTGTCACAGAACTCTAAATACGTAATTTGAAACAATTCCGTTAAATAATGACGCTAAAATCGTCAAAATACCGAAGTTTGGAACCGTTATATGGGGGCTACACGAAGACGTGGAACTGCACAGACAATTTTCTGTCATAGGATGTAGTATCCATTACGAATCTCAAATACTAAATTTTGAAACAATTCCGATGAATAATGTCGCTAAAATCATCAAAATACCGAATATCGGGAGGTACCGTTATATGGAGGCCATACGAAGACGTGGACCTGCACAAACAATTTTCTGTCTTAGGCTGTAGTGTCCATTTCGAACTTCAAATACCAAATTTGAAACAATTCCGGTGAATAATGTCGCTAAAATCATCAAAATACCGAATATCG